CGCCACTCCAAGACGTCATGGAATCCCACCTTCATATATCTTGCTAATTGTTGACCAGATCATCTTGATTTTGAAATGCTCTTATGATTTATGATAAAAACAAAAGTGAGGGGGGGCCCAACTCAAAATAGGGTCTCTTGAAATGTGATGACCAATAGATGTTGAACCACATTTCTGGCAGATAATCACGACACGACATTTGCTGGGGTGGGAAGTGCTGCTGTGCCCCCAGCCAGCATGAACTTTTCTGAAGGGGAGCTGATATTTAAGCCACCAGCTCATAACCTGTTGTCCCAGAATCGGTTCACTGGAAGGGACTACCTGCAAGAACCCTGAGCATCCCTGAGCCCTTTTGTTTAGGGTAAGCAACTCCGTTTGAAGATTTTTCATGAACTCCACGAAGAAACGTTAAGGCCTGGCTGCCAGTGTGGCAAACATGTCCTCCAAGGCTCTTTTGGATTTCACATGGGTGGGAGAAGGTGCCATTGAACCCCCATTTGGGATCAGCTCTAGAGGGGAAAGCACCCTTTTCATCCCTTTTCTTGGTCCCAATTTTGCTTGGACCTGGGTCGATTGATGTATTTGCAAACAATGCTGATGCTGATGATGCTGCTGCTGGTGATGGCGATGGCGATACGGTGATGATGAGATCTCCCCCTGATGTTCGTGGCCAACCTTCGTGATGGTGGACGTGCAGTTTTAGTGAAACCAAATTCCGCAGAGGGTGGTGGAGACCCGGGTTGCATAATCACTGTCAGACTTTTTGCGTCTTCATAATATGTGGACACTTTACAACTAGTGCCAATGATATGATGTGCATGGATCTGTTGAGATCTCTTGTAGTCACGCCCGACGCCGGCTCCACTGGGAGGAATGTCAGAGCATTGCTTGAGTGGAATTCTGGCTTTGAAACCTTTGCAAGGCAACAACAACAGTGTGTTTTTTTTCACAAAATACGCCTTATCCCTCCTGTACTTCGCTCCTTGCTTATTCGCATCCCATACGAATTGAGTCGGGTGGTTTCAGCTTGTGAGCCATCAAGGCCTAACAACCAGATTGAAAAAAGATGAAAAAAGCCGAGCCTCCATAGATGCTTCGGCAAACATCGGCAAACATCAGCAAACTCTCAGGACCCAACCCGTGTCTGTCCAGAGACCTCACCTTGGCAGCTTTTTCTCGACCATGGCGAGGTCACTGGACCATGTTTGCCGCGACAGCCCCCTTGAATTTGGCGCAGGATCGCCGCAACAGCATCGAAGAGCGCTCCATCTTGACTTGGGGCGCCAATGCCAATCGTCAGTGCCTGTCAGATGATGCCAGGGTGGTGCCAGCTCCCAAACATGTGGCATTTCTGCGGCCCCTGCGGTCCTTGGCTGCTGGATGGGAAGGCTCACTGTTGATTGATGCGGATGGAAGCCTCTGGGGCGGTGGCAGCAATCGTGGCCAGTGCTTGTCAGAAGAACTCAGTGCCTTGGTTTACTGAGTCGGTGATTCTTTCGATTTTCCCATCGGTTCATCCGCCATGGGGAATCCACTGGGAAAAGTGCCTTAATTACTACTGATGCTTAGTAGGGAATGGCGGAATGACCCATAATAGCTGACAATCATCCCATTTCCATCCTAAGTCCTAAGATGTCCTAAGCATAAGTCAGGTGATGAACATGTCCCCTTGTCGCGTTTGGACATTGCGGAGCTGGATGGGGTCCCCTTTGAAGCCGCTGACATGGGCCGCGATCATATTTTGGCGATCCTGGAAGGTGGTCGAGCGGTGATTTCCTGGGGACCTTCCAATGAGTTTGGACAGATCGGACATGGGCTTCCTGGTTTCATTCGTGTTTTTATATTCGGGTGGGTATGGATGGGTCAAAACCTATGAACTTGCCATATTTGGAGGAATAAACATCGTAAACATCCATTAGCCAGCTAGGTTAATCTATTTTAAGGGTACCTAGTGTGCCAGGGTTTTGACTCACAACATATATGTCCCATCCCTGACATATGAAGATGATGCACCCAAATCTTAATTCACTCACTGTGACTACAGTAACTTACTGCAACTCATATGATCTCAAGCACCAGGCTTCCGTATCGTTCGCGGGTCAGACCTGGGGTTGTCCACTTGGGCGGCGTGTTGGTGAAGCAAGTGGCCTGTGGAGAACACCATTCGTTGGTTCTCACCGCGCACGGGGAGGCTTGAGATTTCGTCGTGACCATAGGATTTCCCACGCCCCTGTAAGATGGCTTATTAGGCATGAAAGATTCTGAAAGTAAGTCCGCAGCCGGAAATCAAATCTCTTTCCATACTTATCCTGCTTCAGTTTTGATCCCCTTTTTGTGCAATATTGTGCGCATTTTGGGGCCCTGCCATGCCCTGCCCCTTTGTTTGGAGCCATGCCAGGTCTATTCCTTCGGCTGCAATCTGCATGGCGCTTTGGGCTCTGGTAGATGTGGATCTCAAGAACAAGCGGAACGGGTACTAGGCAGCCGCAGCCTCCGCCATGGCAAGGGCCCATAATGGGCCCTTGCCATGGTTTCAACGGGCTAAATTGGACAATTTCAGTGATTTCATTCCATTTAATGCATTGTAATTATCATTATAACTGGTTTACAATGAAGGTTCATAATTCATAATGATGATGGTTTATAACCAATGTCATTCAGTCAACTGGTAGATGGGCCGACCAGTGACAGCAGTGTGCATTTGCAGTGGTCTAAAGCCAGCCAGTGCATAATTGTGTCATTCCATGTGTAGCATCGACCAATCACACGGGACTCTGTGCATGGAAGTGGTTCGATGCCAAGGTTATATCCCCAAAACATCCCATTACTGTAAATCCCATTAATTCCCATTATATAAATATTATAAATAATATCCCATTATATATCGTATCATATTATATCATTAAATCCAAAGCTGTCAGGCAATCACCTCCGCAGCATGCCGGTGCGGGGTATCTCTGCGGGGGCTCAGAGTTCCATGGCTCTCTCCATCGGTGGCCACGTCTTCTGCTGGGGATGCAATGGTCGTGGGCGCTTGGGCCTGGGTCCTGCCTATGATCAGGAGTTGATCCAGCATCTTTCAACCATTTGTTTGCTGGGTGATGGTGATGATGATGATGATGATGATGATGATGATGTTGATGATGATGATGATGATGGTTATCAATGGTTATTACATAATGGTTACATAATGGTTATATAATGGTTATTAATGGCTATTGGCTATTAATGATTATTAATGTTTATTGATGATGATGATGATGATGATGATGTTGAATGATGTTGATGCTGTTCTTGTTGTTGTTTATGCCAGGAGCCTACGGTTTTAGCCCCTGTGGTGGTACCAAATCTTCCGGGAGTCGCCAGGGCCATCGCGGCTGGCGGCCAACATTCTGCTGTCATTTTGCGTCGAGGGCGCTTGTTCCTAGCAGGAGACAATCGATCCGGTCAACTGGGACAGTCCAGGAAAGATGTGGATTGGACCAGTACATTCTTCGAGCTTCCTTTTCAAGACTACATGCTGAGAGTTCGTGCTCTGGAGTGTGCTTGAGGTTCATTTTGCCACCCCACCAGGGAGTTTTGGCGCATTGCTCCTGCAAAGGAGCCTTCAAGTATGTCATAAGTCATAAGTATTCATTCATGAGCGGGATTCCAGTTTGGTGTGGTCCTTCAGTACAATGTGCCCAGGTTCAGCATATTTCAATGTCCTTGGGAAAAGCTGCAGGCAGTCCTCGAGGAAAGAATAGCCCTCAATACATCACTTAGAATTCTTCTTGAAAAGCATGTGGGATGCAACCCAGTGCAAATATAGGCACCAGCGCGCCACTATACATTGTATATTGCATCCCCTTTTTCTTTCATCAACCTTGTCCACAAGATATGGCTGCTGTTTGCCCCAACACTTTCTGTCCACTGTGGGGCCAGAAAAAGGTACAGTTTCCCTTGGCAAGAAACACACTCTGATCCTTTCCTATCATGGGGAGCTGTATGCCTGTGGCTGCAATGCGGAGGGGCAACTCGGGAGCAAAGCGGCTCAACCTGATACCACACAACCGGTGGATGTACCTGTGCGACTGAGCTTGCAGTTGGATGAGGCCCGAAATCAGGGAGTTCACAACAGTGCTTGGTTTTAGCTTGAAAATGAAACATGGGAGGTACCTGAGCCAGCGAGCACAGATGTTTCCCTTTTTTCCATCTTTTTTCGGTCTTTTTCGCTTTCTTGGGATGTGTTTGTTAGTTTTTTGATTTCTTTTCTTAACTTCCCTAGTCAGGATTTTGCCCTGACTTACAGCATTAGAATAATTCAGTGCACTGCAGGACAAGCCTGTCCCTTTATATAGAGATTTGCATGTTTCATGGTAAGAATCCAAATATTTCCTCTATATAAAATCCTTTCCCCTAGTATTAGACATCCCCCCATAAACCTGGGCTCAGCAGGGGAATTTATACACATTTTTGGCACCACATAATGGGGTTATTTATATTATATGAACGGATTGAACGGGGTAAGGGATTAGTTTGTTCCAATCCCATGGAATATCCCATGATCTTCCATTAAAATCACCATTGGTCACCATTGATAATCCCGTTATATAATAAATCAGCATCAAAAAACCGTTGAATCAACCCAATAGCCAAGCCAATAATCCAACAACAACAGTTTCCATCGCAGCCGGGTAGGCCTCCAAAGATTGCATGGTGGTGGGCTTGTCCTCCTGTCATGATCATACGGTGGCCATGGTCGTGTCGATTCCCGAGGGCACCAAGCGTGACTGTGAGGCATTTCTGCTCTGAAAAGGGGGGGATACCCTAATGTACCCTCTGGTAATTTAACATAGCTATTGAAAATAGCCATTTATAGTGAGTTTTCCCATCAAAAATGGTGATTTTCCATAGCTACGTTAAATTACCAGAGGGTATATGATAAGTTCATTCATACAAGTTATATCATTTCAATGGGATGTGCCCTATTTTTTTTGAAACCCATTCGGTCTCAAAATTTAGTTTCATAGGTTCGTTAATTAGATTTATTTCTGTAAATTGGTACGGGTAAACCACGGGTATCAATAGGCCTACGCAATCCGCAAAATTGGCAATCCTCAGTATGAAATAATCCTCAGATAATTATTTTAACCGCTAAACACATTGGTGAATTTCCAAGACATTACAAGGATGTCTGAAAAACAACTCCAAAACCTGCCCTCCAGAACCTCTCAAGATGTCTTTTCCTGATGTCTTTTCCTTTGTTGATGCCCTGGTGAGAAAGCCTTGGCTTACAGTACATGTCCGACGTGAACGAAGTGACACAACAAGTAACGTCGAGGAGAGGAACCGTTGACGGGTCATTATACCGACCCTGGTTTGTTTGGGCCATACTGATATTATCTCCTATTTCTTTCCATGTCTAGATTTCCTAATGAGTCTTATCTCTGTTGGATTATGGATCCAAATTATGGATCATAGACCTATATAGGCCCCATGTTATTCCCTTTGTTGACCTATCTGTCTTAGCCAACCAGCTAAGGTGAAGGTCAGCCGAAGATTTCCTCAGGCCGACCTCAGACCTCTGCCTCCACCCGTGGGGACATGGGCCCAGATGCCATGCAAACGCAGCGTGCCAACCGTGCAGCTCTCTTCATCAAGACCATGAATACCATCCATGAGGAGAAGTGGTGGATCTGATGGGTGTGATGGGTTGATGGTTGGTTGATGGTTGGTTGATGGTTGGTTGATGGTTGGTGGTTGGTTGATGTTGGTTGATGTTGGTTGGATGTTGCAAGTATTGTTGTTGGTGCGATTGGAGCTCATTTGGCGCAGGGAGGTGAGAGGCACGTAGCAAAATTCTGAAGTCTACACAACAAGGCGAGCTGTTACAGCCTGGAGGAAATTAACCCACGAGGGAGACCAGCTAAGAAATATATTAAATAGAAATTTGATGTAATTTGCCAAGATGGATGTCACCAATTTCCCTTTACACCAATGGTCATCGACGGAGTCATCGATTTCTCAGGACGTGCTTCCAGCCCAGAATCCATTGCCGAGCTTTGAGGCCATCACCAACCGTGATTTGCCGCGGCCTTCCACGGGACAAGCCGGAGGGCGCAGCTCGGAAAGCCTGTCCTCTGGGTGCACCAGCCGTGTAGGGCGGTCTCCAAGAGGTCTCAGTGTGGTGTCCAAGTCCAAGAAAACTGGAGATGAAGGGATGCTGGCAGAAGAGCCTTGGATATTTTTTTAGTTCTTTTTATACCTTTTCGTGGCCTTGTTTTGGGTCAGTGGTCGAAAAATGTCGAACAATTGAACAGGTGTGGCCAGAGGTATGGCTCAAAATTCTTGATCCCCAAATTTGATGATTCTATAAGTTTACTACTTCCGATTTGATGTTTCAACTTTGTGGGTCCTTGGTGCTCGCTTGAACTGAACCAGACAAAAAAAAAAAGAACGGCCTTGGGTAAGATGTTTGTTGATGGGTCAGCCTGGGTGCGCCGTAGGCTCATGAGAAACCACCATGGTAATAATACAGCCAAAATCATTTGAGTTGACCAGTCTTGATAGTTTTGGCTTTTGGGTTGACGATGTCCAAAACCATTCAAAACATTCAAAACCTGCCACCATCAGGCGAAAATATCTGAAAGTCTGCAGACAGAGACAGATTGGCAGATTTTTCCCCATGTGCTCAAAGGAGGCCATGGTGCCGTGATCTCATGATACCATTCTTTGGACCCCTGGAGTAGTGGGAAATCTACTATAAAGCTACCATTTGGGGATGGTTTTGTTTTTATGTTTCTACCAACTATTTCATATTGATTTATGGTGATGTTTGGGATGGTTTACTATTATTGTCATTCCTATTATTCATTATTTATATTATATCATATTATATCTATATATACAATATATTTTTTACCATTGGGTTTCCCACATATAATGGCATCAACTTGTCTCAGGAAGTTGTTCTGCTTCAACCCGTGGTTCAACCTGGTGTGGCTGCATCGGTTGCTCGTCACAAGCCGACCTGCCAATTTTCGGCCACCAAAAAGACATGTGAGATCAAACCCTCCCGGATTGGAAGGTGATTTTCCAATTGGACATTGGAATCTTTGAGTTGCAGCTGAACTGTTAAAGATGAATGGAGCGACTTACTCCAAAATATGACTGAATTCATCCGAACATGTCTTACTCCAAAATCGACAAACATTGTCGGTTTGAAGATGGGATAGAGGTGGGGATAGAACCTTTTTCTTTTTTGTGCGATTTCAACTCCATCCCATGGCATTGTTGCTGAGCATACTTGCCCATTTGGGACTCCTCAAATCATACATAATACGTTCTGGGGCCATTTGCAAAACCGGCTGCTGCGGCATTTTTGTGGGTGGTTGATAGATGCAGCAACTACCCAAGTTGGACATACAGCCTGGATGAAGACATTGAACCTATCAGCTACTGTACATACATTTGAACGGCTGTCATTCGTCCGATTTGTCTCAGCTAAAACTTGAGGTTGGCTTTGCAAGTTTGTCAGTGGCGAAGCTATTGTCCCTAATTCAGTCCGCCCAAAGTGACTCAATTGCACGACAATGCTAGTGATTTTTGAATATGTGTCTTTTCCAAAAGTTTGTGCAAACTATTTGGAACTTTAGGTGTGATTTATGATACTGGTACTATGGGCAATGCCTGTGTTTGTTGATATTCACAATTGTCGCATGCAAGTGCCTGGCACTTTTTCATATCAGAGAGAGAGAGAGAGATGCAACTCTACAAGCCCACCACTGCAGTGATGACATCTTTTTGTTAGTCACAGTCACATATTACCCTGTCTATCGTTATGTAATTATGTTATATAAATCTACGCATTGATTTTCTATGTCTTTATTTTGCACATATATAATACAGTACATCTCATCTCATTGCATTGCATCGTATCTCCTTCCCCTTGTTACATGACATGACATTGTATCTCATTACGTTAATTATCATTCATGAGCTTACATTGCATCACATCACATCACATCACATTGCACGGACATAGTCACATGTTATTTTTCTCTCTTACTCCCTCTCTCTCTCTCTATATGCATATGTTTACGCATAGTCACACGTCGCACCTGCACCCATATCCAAGCGCTTGCGATACAAATTGCAAGTCGCCAGGTAGCTCCCCAGCTGCCATCGATGACTTGAGAAGTTCACTTTCGGCTGCGTTTGCCAGCCCCTCACTGCTCAATGCTTCCTTCTGCTTTCCCGGGCTCTACAAACCGCGCCTGGATGCGGGAGGCCTCCTAAATGTCTCTGGGTTGGCAGATGGCCCATGGTTTGTGAATGTGAAACCAACGTAAACGAAACATATGTTTAGTATTGTTTAGTATTGTTTAGTATTGTTTATAGTATTGTTTAGTATTGTTTAGTTATGTAGCTATGTTGTTGAACACGATTCTGGAGGAGTTTTTCTGAAGTTGGGGTCCCATGTAAACTCCTGAGCAGCTGCCCGTTGAACATCTGCGACGGGGCGCCTTTTGGGCCTTGAGGTTTTCAAGGGCTTGATCCAAAGTGAAGCCTTGTTCGCCCAAGTGGAGATGCACATCATCAATGCGGCCTTTGAGGGTCTCAGCATGTGGGCCAATGATCATGACGAAGCGGCTGCTCGCTGCGAAGTTGGGATCAGTTCTTTGCGAAGTTGGGTTCGTCTCAGTGGGTACACCCAAAAATCACCCACTTACATTCACTCTTTCTCAATCTCATTCCATTTCCAGCCCGTTTCATCGCACAATAGCATGAATCAAATTGCATCTTTATATAATTTAGTAAATTTATATAATTTTATATGCACATTTTCATCATGGCACATTCCACTGCCTTTTTGAAGGCACAGGGTCTGGCACCAGGGTCACACATACATGGCACTCACTCAGCCCCTCAAATGGCCCCCTCAAAAGATCACGTCGCACGGTTTTGACCCCATAGCTGCAAATTTTTGGATACTTAACTTGTCATCATGTTCATTCATTTTCCGGAATTTCTTAAACAAATCATCTCTGGCCTGATTTCCTACATTCCCTTGGATTGCAGCGGGCGTTTCCAGCTTTTGCTGTCTTCCGCCCAGGAATTGAATGCGGATACTGTAAATTGAATTTACCCACATTTCTCGCCCACATTTCTCGCAACAACAGAATTTGAGGACAGATATTGAACAACCAGTGTTTTCCACCAGACATATCAGCAAAAAATCCTATCCCCCAAAAAGAAAACATATACCCTCCTGTAATTTGACATAGCTACGAACAATCGCCATTTTCAATAGGTATTTCATCCTATAATAATCAGTCATTTTCCATAGTTATGTTAAATTATCAGAGGGTATCCTATCCCAGTATTATATCACCATCATCCCAAAAAACATCTATAGATCATCATTGGTTAATTATAAACATATAAGTCAGAAAAATGAAACTTCATGATACTTTCATATACTTCCATTTCTAGTGATTCTAAGTCAGACTTTGAACCATGATACTGTGGATGGAAGAAATCTTGCGCCAGTTGATAGATGGTTTATCCCACGATTTATAACTATAGGGTTTCAACCAAGGTGGTGCATGATTTCTTCCATCCACAGTATGTTCATATGGAGTTTTTTTTTCTGAAATAGGGCTACCCCTAGTTTTCATCCATTTTCATGGGATTTTTATGGGATTTTCCATCATAAACGTCATAAACCATCCAGCTATTGGGGTACCATTGGTTCCCCCCAAGGCCTCCGGTCCGGTCGCCGCGTGGTCCAGGCCTCATTGATCCACCGGGACCAGCTTCGTGGCCTGGCGGCGCTGCTGCTCTCCCCGGTGCTGGCGGAGCCCGAAAAGCCGCAGCCCTACGAAGTGATGTCACGGATCATGCGGCTGGTGGCCTGGAGACTTGGAGAAAACCATGGGAAAACCATGGGACAACTATGGACAACAGTTGGGTGACTTTGTTGGTTTTTGTTCCCAAAGTCATGGTTCAGAAATCATCTCGAAATGTTTGATTCTCATGGATTTTCCACATTTAAGTGTTAGTTTACCCTACCTAGGGTAACCATGGAAGAACCATGGAAGAAACATCAGGAATACATTAAGCAGCTCTCAAATTGAGATAAAGTTTTGCAATTCATCTTTTTTTTTTCTCGAACTTCTATCGTTCTGGGGGTTACTGCACATTTGTTTCCATATAGTCTAGTGGACCGTATAGTTGGTTTTTGGACAACCTCATGTTTTTTTTAAATGTTTCTTTCATGAGAAATAGATCAAGCAACCAATGATTTAGACTCAGTTTTTTTCCATCAATTCGGAGGGATGAACATTGATAGATCCCAAATACAGTATTTGATGGAGAGAGAAACATACAGTATTTGGGTGTAAACACCACGCTGGAGGGGGAAGCCATGCGATTTTTTCTTGGTCTCAGTGGAACATGATGTTCATGTTTAGGGGAGCTTTTCAGCCACATCATGTGGAAAGCTGGCAGCTAGGGTTTGATAGGTATGTAGCAAACATGTCAACAATGCCCTCAAGATTGGATTGCACATACTGATGAGCAAAATCTCTGGCATCTAACATCGCTGTGCGTGAGGATGCCTGCGGAGGGCCGACGCGAATTGCAAGAGGTGGGATCATATGGTACAAATGTAAATACAGACTGGTTGGGAGTATCATCTTTTTCCACCCTATAAGTAGTGTATTCTTTATATATATAATTATACAATGCCCCCCCCCAAAAAACCTTTGTTTATTTAGTCTTGGATTTGTTCATTTAGAGTCCATTATCGGAAGTATTGCCATGATTTCCAGGCTTCTGCGTTGGCAGTGAATCTCCGTTGTTCTTGTTTTGGTATTGTCTTGCGGTATTGGATGGTATTGGTATTATATATAGTTATAGATGCTCACACACACACACATCACACACACACACACACACACACACGCACACATATATAATATATATATATATTTAACATACACATATATACAATGTATGTATGTGTGATATATACAGTGTATATATATATATATGTACATGTGATCTATATGCATATATGTATGGCATATACGTGCAAAAAGATATCATGCAACATCATGCAACATCATGTAACATATCCACATGAGCTTAGGGATACCCCCCTCTTATGGCCTGCCTCTCAGGTCCTGGTGGACGACTGCTCCGAGGAGGAGGTCCTCCGCGGGTTGGTGCGGCGCGTGCGGAGCCATTGCGACGAGACGGTGAAGCGAGCGCATCAGATGCAGCGGCTGTCGCCGGAGATCTGGGAAGGCTTGATGTGGCTTGGATGCTGAAAGGAGGAATGTGGGGGTTGGGGGAGGGTTTCGTGCTTTTTTCCGCATTTTTTTGTTTCGATTATATATATATATATCTATAGACATACATAGTATATTTGCAGGTCTTTGTTTTGGTCATTTAGGGACGGTCCATATCTTATTGTAATAGCTAGATATATAAATACATATAAATACAGTGTGCTGGTGCCCATCCTCAAATGTAGCTAGATGTAGACAGATGATGCCTGAGAAGAAACCTGTGGCATGGCATTGCCCCGATTGCGGGAACTTGTGCTCCCGGGAAGATATAGATAAAACATGGTAAAACGGTCACCTCCTGGGGTAAGATTCCAGATATTTCCAAATATTCCAGTAAATTTATAACAGTAACACACCTGTAAATCAAGTCTTCAAGTATCTTCAAGTTACCGGGCGCCTTTTTTTCACCGCAGGTTGCTGCAACTACTTTGGGGCACCAATGAAGCCATCGCCCAACGCTTGGCATCTTCGCTGCGCTCCTCGGAATGGGAGCCGGACTTTGGGCAAAGCCTCTCCCAGACCTTGTCGCAGCTGGCCACCAGGGCCAGCTCCTATCTGGGGCGCTTCACCTTGGCCCCTCAGCTCCGCGCACCGGTGCCGGCCTTCGAATTTCACTTGCAAAGCCTGGCGGAAGAAAAGGTTCCTCCAGAGACTGGGTGAAAGATAGTCAGATAGTACCACATAGTCAATATCTATCAATATCTTTGGTTTTGATTTCTTGTCAATCAGTTTTTTCCACCAAGGGGCCAGTGGCACAACATTTGAATACATTATACATTTGTAGATGTTATAAGTACGTTTGTTTTGTTTTAGTGAAATAACAGCGCTGACGCACACTCACGTGGTCTCTTGCGTTTTTGTTGGAAGACAATGGAAGGGGTGAACCATCCTGAAAGCATATTTCGGCATAGAGAGTGCCAACACATGCCACAAAGAAACAGCAGTTTTTACTCAGTTCGATGCGGTTCGATGGCAAATCCCTTGGTAAATGCCTCCTTTCAACACCAAGATGCCTAGATATGCCTAGGAGCTTGAATTTCGGCTTTTCGTTGAGAATGCTTGTGCTGGTCCCATCACCCCCTCTGAGGCGCCAGACTGGGCGAACCCCTGGGCATTTTGGTAATGGACGGTGTGTTTAGTCTGACAGCAGAGCACGCCCCAAATCCTATGCTTTATCAAGCTTTATCATCCTTCATCATGTTCCCCATTATTACACATGATTCACATGATTATATAATATTATATCCATCACTTTCAATTGCTATCAATTGGCGAAGCCCAATACCATTCCTTTAATATCACCACAAATGGTTGGTAGTAAGAGTATCATCCCCAATCATGGTAGGTTTATGGATGTTTATGGCATTGGGTGAATCCCACATTAGTCGCATTATTTCCATCTCTGGAGGTCTTGGAGCTTCCCCTCTACGCCGCGCGCACGGACTACGGCTTCGAGTACGTCCTGCCCAGCAAGATGCGGAGCTTCATGGCGAATCGGAATCTGGTCCCGGTCTCGTACACCCGCAAAGTCTTACAGGTGGAGAATCATCACGCGCAGGCCGGGAGGATGGCACGATGGCCTCACTGTATCTCACGTGGAAGAATGAAGAAGAATGGCTAGGATAGGAGGATTGATCATGATATATCATGATTAATCCTCAAGTGGTTGTATGATAACAGCTATTTTCAGGTTAGTTGCAGAAAGTTTCAGCCAGATTTTTGTGGTTTCCCTTGAACAAGTGAGACTTCACGATTTTTATACGACCAGAATTTCAGAATTGAGTGAATTTCGTGACATGGACTCCCATCCGATATTGGGGTCCCCAAATTTGAGAAAGACTCTTCTCCAGCTATGGGATATGGCCATTGACCTGTCAGGTCTATCTTCAACATCAGGTGGCCAGGCGAGTGGCTGCAGATTTGGAAGTGTTGCCAGGGCATGAGATGCTTGGCAGTGACTGCCAGTGCTTTAAAATGCTTTAAACACGTCAGACACGTCAGACATTTTTCGTGTTTCCTATACCTTTTGCATCCATTTTCCTTTGATTTTGGGAAACGTCCCAATTGACCAGGTTTCGTGATGAGTGGGTTGAAATGAATTTGATCCGATTTCATCAGCAATGACCAGCAGAAGAGTGTTCTTTGTAGCAGCTGATCTTGCGGTCATGTTTTTGCAAGCTGCAAAATTTCTAGCTGTAAGTAAACCGTTGGAAACCCCACAACACAAAGAACACACACACACGCACACTATATAGACAGATATATGGATGGATGGATGGATAGATAGACAGACAGATAGATACATCGATGGCCGTGTATCCCCAAATGTCAATTTTACCAGTGAAAAATGATGATCAACCATCGGATTGATCGGTTATTATTAAGTGGACCCATATTTTGAGATAAACCCAGATAGCTCAGCCATGCTGAGCCCAGGATCCACATCGACCCTGCCCTGCTCTTCTTCATCCTGAAGGTCCATCGAGATCGAATCCTGGAAGATACCACGGCAGCCCTGCAGAAAGCCACGCCCGAGGATCTCAGGAGACAGCTGAAGGTGGTCTTTGAAGGCTCGAAACTCGTGGATTTGGGGAATTTCTTAATTGAGACCCTTGAATAAATAAGCTAAAAGCAAACATCATTAAAAAAAACATCATTATATATTTATTATATTGCAGTATATCTGTAAGATGGGTAACCGCCCCATGTCATAGTTAACCAAGCACTGACACTTTCTTACTTCCATTGCAGGTGAGCAGGGCGTCGATGAAGGCGGGTTGGCGCGTGAGTTTTTCCGGCTTCTCAGTGCCCACGTCTTCACCGTGGACGGCGGTTTGTTCGATCCCCTTGTGGCACAGAACGCCCGCGTCTTGTGGTTCAACTCGGCGTCAGAGCGGGAATCCACAGAGTTCTGGTTGGCCGGGGTGATTTTGGGCCTGGTGGTTTACAACAACATGCCTGGACTGGATGTGCGCTTCCCCCCGGTGGTTTTCAAGAAGATCAAGAATGAGCAGCCGCTCGTTGGTGGTTTGCATGTTGATTTTCCATCCTTTGAAGATCTTTGAAGATGGGATATGGTGGATATGGAATGATGATCCCGAATCACCCGTTGGTTGGTTTCAACCAATTTTGATTTTGGTCCCCAAAAGATCATGAATCAACTATAACATCAATTAAGGTAAGTTGGAAATCAATGGAAATCACCATAAATCACCATTTTTCCAGGAAATCCCATGGGAAATGCTCTATTTTTCATGGTGGACATGGCCGCGACAAAAAGAGCGGCCAGGCTGGTGCTGGAGGATCTCCGGCAGGTGCACCCTGAGACCTACTTGTCCTTACGCTCCCTGCTGTCCTGGGAGCCAGAGGAGGACCTCATGGCTGAGGAGCTGCTTGAAGCTTGAGCAGTGGTGAAGCTATGGGAATTTTGGAACTTGACCAAAAAAAATGAGGGTATATGTATACGTACACACATATATGTATATATATATGTATATATAGCGACGGACAAACACTTAGAACATCATTTGGAAAAAAAATCTGAAAACCGTCACAGCGGGGATGTTCTAAGTATTAAGTCGTTAGAACATACCCAAAACCTATACTTAGAACATTTCCAAGCTATACTTAGAACATCCCAGTGGGGAACCAATGGGAACCA